CAGAGAAAGGCGCTTCCAAAAGGCCACTGGGTAAGCGCTACGACAGGCAAGAAACTGTGACTTGGGGGGTATTTTTAGGAAGGCTGCATCATCAGCCTGAGCTTCGAGCTGGAAAGGAAAGAACAAGCCATGATGGGAATGGAGGACTTGGCATCTGGGCACTTCGGGCTCGTCAGTGCTGTCACCACGAAGCGGGTCCTGCCCACCTGCTCCACTTCAGAGCAGGTGCCAATGAGCACACCTGACACACAAGGCTGGGGAGCAGATACGGGGACAGTGCCTCCCTAAGGGGGCCACGTGGCCTCATTTTGGCATGTGTGGGGTGGGAACGAATGGGCGGCGCCTGGTTCATGGAGATATACCTGCATAGTCTGTCCCCAGCATGGGGTGGTGGTTTGGAGGGCAGCGGTGCCTTCTAGTTTGAGCAGAGACCAGGCTTCCTGAGCTCCCTCAGGTTGGGGATTAACGAGTTAAAAGAGGAAAAGGAAGACCAGGACTCTTGGGTCCTATTCCCATTTGTGGGAGGGCATGTCCTAGGAGCCCGGATAGCTGGGTTGTGTTCCTAGCTTTGCCCCTGATCTGCTACATGACCTTAGCCACATCCTTTAGCCACTCCGCACTTCAGTTTACCCATCTGTAAAATGGGACTGATAAGCCTTGTCTCCCTTCAGGGGGACCATGGGGCCCAAATGGCAGGTGCTGTGTCACTGCATGTGAGGGAGAAGCTGAGCACAGCCAGAGTCCTTTCTGGGACAAGAATATTTGACCGCAGTTGCCAGCCTGTCGGCACCAATGGGAAGTGACTGGTGACAGGGCAGAGCTCACATGTCATCGTCAAAGCCTCTTCCTTCATTCATGTGGCCAAGGCCACCTCCCTTCTGGAGCTCCCAGGTTGGGGGGGTTGGCGTGAGGGCCTGTGTCCCAGTTAGCCATGGCAGGTGCCAGGAGAGCGGGTGCACTCCTGTCCCCCTCTCAGGTTGCCAGTAGAAAGCTGAGGGACGCTAAGCTAAGTGGACAGGTAAATGAACAGGAGCGTGGAGCTGCCAGAGCTCAGGCTGACGCATTTCCAGAGTGAATCAGAGCCATGCTGCCTCACCACCAGCCAAGCCAGGGCACACCCAGTGAGACTCTCACGCCCCGGCTCTCCGGGTGTCACAAGCATGGGCGGCTTCTCTGCCATTGCTGTTTTCACACACCCTTGTGCAAAAACTGGCTGGGCCCCTGGCAATGGCAGCTGGGGGCGCAGTGTCAGGTGGGGGCATCGGGGATGTCTTCACTGGGTCCCTGCCACCTCATTGCTGTTCTGTGGGGGGTAGGGGGTGGCAGAGAAACACAGCCCCTGGTTGGAGTCAATAAGATGCCTGATTAATAGTAATGAATGGGAAATAATAATCTGGAAGGTTCCCTTTACCTTTGTCTAAACACCCAGCTGCAGTTGCACCTCTGAAGGCAGGAAATGCGGACACAAACACGATGCCGTGCTGGACAATTTGCTTCCTTCTCCACGGCACGCACTGCTGCAGGGCAGGTCCCCAGCTGGCACAGACATCGTTCCGCTGACCTCTCTTGGGATGTTCCCATTCATGCCAGCAGAAGGGCTAGCCCATTAGCCAGGCATTGAGGTCTAGTGGCTAGAGCCGTGGGGTTGGCGGGAGGGATCTATTCCCAGTGGACAAACCATTTCCTCTCTCTGTGCCGTAAGATTTGTCTGCACTAAGGCTAGGGTCAGAAGTTACACACAAACTGGTTTAAGTGATCAGAAATGGGTTTAAACTTGTAACAGAACAGAAACTCAGTGCACATAAACCAGTTTCAAAGTGGCTGAAACTGATTTAAGAGAAACCTGGTTGAATGTCTGCAAAGGGGGGGGGCTGCCCCACCCAGGCAAACCCCGGCTGGGGCCAGGGAGGGGAGTTAAACACCCTTTCCCCTGCTCATACTTACTGCTGGCTGCAAATCCCAGAGGCACCTGGAAGCAGGAAGAGGCAGTTATGAGCAACCCTGCAGAGTCCTGTTGATGTGATTCTGGGCTGCAAATCCCAGAGACCTCTGGGGCAACAGGAAGAGGAAGTGAACACACAGCCAGAGAGCCATGCTCTAGTACCTCTAGCCTGAGCCACTGCAGGCATGTGGCTGCATTTCCTGAATCAAAGGTAAATGTCTGTTCACTTCTGTTTCAATTTAATCTGTGCAGTTCAGACTAACCTGCAAAGACAGAATCGATTCAGCTTCAGGCTTTTTGACTTTCTGTGCTTCGCCTAAGGGTTCACCTTGATTCCTGCTACTGGTGGCCAGTTACCAGAGTAGCTGCACCACTACAGAGAAGGCAGACAAAGCTGCTATTGAAATAAACCTCCTAGACAGATTGCAATGGAACAGCTTCAAGATGACAATGGTTTATTCTCCCCAGCAGGCTTCAAGGATTAGGCCAACCCCATGGCTGGAGTCCATCCTCATTGAGCAAGCACCAGGCCTGCTTCCCACCATGGTGATGATAATCCTAGGTAATGATCGTGACATGCCGTGTAGGCAGAGGTGTGCCATCAAGGCCAGCAAGGTAACAGCCCATCTGTAGGATCAACGAGGCTGTATCTGTTGTAACGGTGTTGTCACCTTTCCCCTCTGTCTTGCCTGTGATGGCAGTGCTGGGAACGCTCTCCCTAGCGTCTGCCTAAAGCCCCTCTCGTGTTCCCAAATGAGATTTGCATTCACTTGCTTGGGCTCTGCTCCATTAGCCATTCGCTGAGAGCACAGAAGACTTTGTACTGTCGTGTACATCAGCTGTGCCAGGATCTAGTGTGATGAGTCTGCCATGGATTTTTTAGAGCCAGAACAATCTTGTCATTAAGGGCACTTGGAAGGGAGTGTTGGATCTTCAATAGCAGAATATGGACCAGGGAATTCACATTGGAGGACCTGGGAGAACTGGGTTGAATTCTGACCCCTGCCACAGACTCCCTGCATAACCTTAGGCACATCCCTTTGTCTTTCTACGGCTCCTCTCGATCTGTAAATTGGGGCCAGTATTCTTCGCCTCATCCATCCTGTTGGTTTAGACTGTAAACTCTCCAAGCCAGGGACTCTTATGTTATGTTTGTACAGTGCCTAGCACAGGGTGGGGAGTGCCAATCTGGCCAGCATTTTAAGTGCCACTGCAATACCAACCATTACTAATAATGTGTTGCTTTCAAACTTGGACTGATCACTAGGGAGTGGTCAGTTTTGCAGATTTGATGAACTTCCTTATGGAACGGCACAAAAGGATCCTACTCTCTGCAGTAGGTCATCCCTGCAGAATGGGTGTCATTAACTCCTCCTGGATTTTGAAACCCTTTCAGATCTATCACAGGTGGGTTTTCTTTGGGATTTTCAACTCGCAGAGAGAGCAGACAACTCGCTCAAGCCCACCCTGATCTCTATAAAGTTATGCCCATTTCCACCGTCTTCTCCTTTACATACTTGTCTCCTCCATGATGCCTCAGAGCTGCTTTCTACTAAGATCCCTCTCCTGTATGCTGTGTGTGTTTGAATTGGATCTTGTGGAGAGTGGGGGCCAGACCACAGACCCCAAAGCCAAATGATCCCAGCCAAGGGGCTGGCTGTAGCCTGTTGTTCAGTTTTCAGTTCAGCAGCTTCAGCTCATCTGGGAACTTAAACTCTTCAGGATAGGATAGTAACATGGGTCTTCTTGCCTGTGAACTATTTGCGCTGTGGGTAACCACTGCATTCGATGCCATACAGGCATGGAATAAGAGGCAGTCCTTGCCTCAGCACTTGCTGTCTAAAATGCACAAGAGCAGGGGGTGGGAATGGAAGGAGGGACACAGAAAGACCAAGTAACTTGCTTAGGGGCACACATCCAGTTAGTGGCAGAGCTGGAAATAAAACCCAGGTGTCCTGATTCCAGGCCAGCACTCTCTCCTCTGTGCCATGCTCACGTCTCTCTGTAAAGAATAAGTCTCTTCCAGCCATTGCATACAAATGACTCCTCTGCTCATTCCCCTATTTGACAGCAGATCAATTCTGATCTGTTTGGCTGGGTTTAAATCCAGAACAACTCAATGAAGTGACTCCAGATTTGTCCTGACTTAAAGGGAGCAGAATCTGGTTGATTCCATATGCTTTGCAATATTCAATATTCAGAATCTAGTGCAGATCTGCCAACTTAAAAAGATGAAAAGTGCTTTGAAGAGCGTGTGTCCGTGCATAAAAAATATTACGGGGACAATGCCTCTGCAGTAAAATGTGCTGTAATACTGAGAGCGAGTGTGAACTAGTGAATCCAAATGCAAACTGTTCCTATAATTGCACTAGATCACTATAGCAGTATTTTGCTGGTCACCTGGACATCTCAAAGTGCTGCAAAAACAGTGATGAGTTCAACCTCAAAAGCCAGCTCAATGCTGGGGAAAGTAAGGCAGAGAAGAGGGAAATGACTTTCCAAGGGGTACGTACAGCAAGTTAATAACAGAATCAAGACTAGAAATCATTTCTCTGGATTTCCAGCCCTATGCCCTCCTTTGATGTAACCCAGTATTTGGAATCAGGCTGATTGTCAGTCCCTGAGGATACACTCCAGGGTTTCTGATCCTACAACAAAAGGCAGAGGTTTGAATTCTTTTCCAGACCTGCAAAGTCAGGTGTCCTGGTGCTTTTTGCTCTCCTTTGCTGCTTTTGGAAAAAAACAGTCCTTGGGTTTCAAGAAAAGGAAACAAATTTGGATTAATTTTGATTTAAAGGTGTGTAGAGGGCAGATTTGGGCGGCGGGGTATATTCAGTCTGGCACTGTCTTGTGTTTCCTTGCCCCCACCTCCT